AAGTCTTCTTAGCCAAGAGGCCATGACACAGAGAATTAGTAAGGCATTACAAACACACTCTCACTACTGCCATAGAAAATACAGCACCATAACACACTCTTCCACTACCCAGACCATCGTGCTTCTCACACTTCCTGTCAAATCTCTCAACTGCTGTCTCACTACAATTTGGAGACACTGGAACTGCAAATCTGATCAGTTCCCTCAAACTTCTGTCTTCACAAATGGAAAGGACATCCAACCCACTGTGAGCATTCTGTTTGCAGCTTCTTATGGCTCCCATGCGATATGTCTTCACTCTGATTAGATCCTGCATTTGCAGGGCTGGATTTGATGATCTAATGCGTGTTTTCCATCTCTAACTTGTTTGATCCTCTCTTTGTACGCTTAACTGCCTAAAATACTCTCACATCTGGCCAGCACAATCAGTACATCTCCTTTGAGTCTGACTGCTAGCAGTTCGCCTTTCTGAACCCTTTCAAAGAAAAATTAAGAATTTATTTTCCAGTTGTTGTGCATGAATGCAAATAACCTTTCTTGCTCAACCAATCCTGAGTTCCCTATTGTGTGTAATTTCCATTAAAAAAAAAAAAAATCTATGGGAATTTAGAACTGGGCCCTATGGGCTATTCCAAAACCCACCGAAGTCAGTGGAAAGACTTCCACTGACTCCAAAGAACCTGAGCTCAGGCATCTCAAGAGCATATAAACTAGTATATAATACACTATTACTTCAAAATCCTTGCCCATATTTTTAATTAAACTACAGAGAAATAGCATACCATAGAAAGATAATTTGAACAATTAATTCCCTCAAGGATATGCTATGGTGCAACATCAACTCCAGGACATCTGTTTCTACTACAAAAAGATCTTACTTTCTCTAAAGGGATAATTAACGCCAGTCTAAAAGGCTTACACATTGATAGTTTACTTTCCTTTCTACTCATTTTATTCTTTCATGCACATTACCATATTACCCGCATAGAAAGGTCACCAAAAATATCTCAAGTTAGTATAAAACATATTTAGAATTCAGAGTAACTCATGGGCTCTATTTTTGGATCTGTCAGTGACTCACTGTGAGACCTTATACAAGTTACATGACTTGCCCAAAGTTACACAGAAAGTCTGTGGCAAAGTGGCTCAGTTTACTTAAAATGGGTATAATACCTTACCTATGACAAAGTAACAATTGTTGCACATCTATGAAGTCCTTGAGATGAAAAGTGCTATAAAAATTAAAAATATTATTTATTACACATAATTATACCATGAACTATTTCAGTAGTGCCAACCCCAAGCATTCAAAAACCATGAGTCAACCCTAAAAATCTGAGGTTCACTTAAAAATCATGGTATTTTTAAAAATAATACATTCAGAGTTCTTTTTGCCTTCTAGTTCTTGAGCCACTAGGATACACATTATCAAACTTTGCTCTGAAACCATCAGGGCTAAAAACTAGTTTTTAAAATGAAAGCTGAGTCTCATGTAATCACGCCACTGCACTGAGCTGGGATTTTAAGAAAAAAATAATAATCTAGATTTTAGATGAGTTAGCAACATTGTATTTCCTCTTAACTAGGAATCCCTGGAGCTGGAACAAACCTTTGCTATAGGCCTAAACTTTGCTTTACTTGGGAGCTCTGGCTTAAACAGAAATGGCTAGAATGCGGGCACAGTCCAGCAAAACCAGGATGTTACAAGAGTACTGTGTGTATATATATTAGGGCTGTCAATTAATCGCAGTTAACTCACGTGATTAAATCAAAAAAATTAATCACAATTAATTGCAGTTTTAATCAAACTGTTAAACAATAGAATACCAATTGAAATTTATTAACTATTTTGGATGTTTTTCTACCTTTTCAAATATATTGATTTCAGTTACAATACAGAAATACCAATATACAGTGCTCAGTTTATATTATTTTTATTCCAAATATTTTCACTGTAAAAATCATAAACAAAAGAAATAGTATTTTTCAGTTCACCTCATACAAGTACTGTAGTGCAATCTCTTTATTGTGAAAGTGCAATTTACAAATGTGGGGTTTTTTTGTTACATAACTGCACTCAAAAACAAAACAAAGTAAACTTTAGAGCCTACAAGTCCACTCAGTCCTACTTCTTGTTCAGCCAATCACAAATTTATGGGAGATAATACTGCGCGCTTCTTATTTACAATGTTACCTGAAAGGGAGAACAGGCATGCGCATGGCACTTTTGTAGCAAGGTATTTACATGCCAGATATGCTAAACATTCGTATGCCCCTTCATGCTTTGGCCACCGTTCCATGCTGATGATGCTCGTTAAAAAATAATGCATTAATTAAATTTGTGACTGAACTCCTTTGGGGAGAATTGTATGTCTCCTTGTAATAGTCTCTGCCGAGGTTCAGCCCTCAGCGGGGCTGTGGGGTATCCCACCGCCTCGCTCTGGTCCGCCGTCAGTCCTGGTCCAGCGGCAGTCTGGGACAGCAAACACACGGTTAGAGGCTCAGGCCCGTAAGCAGGGGCTGAGCCAATAGGTCAGAAAAAGCCCCGAGCCCTCAATCACGGCGGGGCAGCAATCACGCAGTCTGGAGCGCAGGCCCTCAAGAAGGGGCTGAGTCGCTGTTTGTAGCAGCCCAGGCCCTAGGTCAGGGCGGGGCAGCAATCAAATAGTCAGTCTGGAACCCAGGCCCTTAAGCAGGGGCTGAGTCCAGGAGCAAGAGGTCCCAGCCTCTCTAGGCCAGGAGAAAGGGGGAGTCTGCCACCCCAGGAGTGGCTGGCAGGGGGGGACACAGGCCCTCCCACTCCACTGCGTCCCAGCCCGGGGCCCTAGCAGCGGCAGAAACTCGCTGCTGTCAGTGGGGATCCTGGCCGCAACACACTGACATAGGCTCTGGCAGTGCTGCAGCCAGACTGGGGTTGGCTGCCCCCGGGCTACTTCCACACTCCCCCTCGTATGCTACCTGGGAGGTACTGGTGTCCTCGGTGCTCTCCACCAGCATCGGTTCCTCCGGGTAGGTAGCGAAGGGTAGGTTCGGCTCCTCCTCCGGATAGCAGGAAAGGGGCCGGCTCAGCTCCTCCTTGGGGTAGCTGGAAAGGGGCCGGCTCGGCCAGTCCTCCTCAGGATACCGGGCGAGGGGTAGGCTCGGCCGGCCTGGTGAGTCAGCAGGCCGGTTGCGGTCTGCTGCTGTCTCCCAAGCGGGAGCTCGGCCACAGACGTCTGCTCTCTCCGCCGGCTTGTTCTCCACTGAGCTCTGCAGGCGGGCTTTTATACTTTTGGGTCGGCGCCGTGATCTCTGAGGGGCGGGCGCCGGACCCAGTGGCTCCGCCCACATTGGTGTTACGGGAGGTTCGGCCCTCAACGGGGCTGTGGGGTATCCCACTGCCTCGCTACACTCCTGCTCTGTGTTTTGCCTGTATTCTGCCATATATTTAATGTTATAGCAGTCTTGGATGATGACCGAGCATGTTGATCATTTTAAGAACATTTTCACTGCAGATGTGACAAAATTGAAAGAAGGTATTAATGCGAGATTTCTAAAGACAGAACTTGACCCAAGGTTTAAGAATCTGAAGTGCCTTCCAGAATCTGAGAGGGACGAGGTGTGGAGCATGCTTTCAGAAGTCTTAAAAGAGCAACACTCCGATGCAGAAACTACAGAACTTGAACCACAAAAAATCAACATTCTGCTTGTGGCATCTGACTCAGATGATGAAAATGAACATGCGTTAGTCTCCACTGCTTTGGATCGTTATTGAGCAGAACCTATCATCAGCATGGACGCATATCCTCTGAAATGGTGGTTGAAGCATGAAGGGACGTGTGAATCTTTAGCACATCTAGCACGTAAATATCTTGCAATGCCAGCTCCAACAGTGCCATGCAAATGCCTGTTCTCACTTTCAGATGACATTGTAAACAAGAAGTGGGCAGCATTGTCTCCTGCACATGTAAACAAATTTGTTTGTCTGAGCAATTGGCTGAACAAGAAGTAGGACTAAGTGGACTTGTCGGCTCTCAAGTTTGACATTGTTTTATTTTTGAAGGCAGGTCTTTTTTGTGTGCATAATTCTACATTTGTAAGTTCAACTTTCATGATGACGAGATTGCACTCTTAATACAGTACTTGTATTAAGCGAATTGAAAAATACTATTTCTTGTTTTTACAGTGCAAATATTTAGAATAAAAACAACTATAAAGTGAGCACTGTACACTTCGTATTCTGTGTTGAAATTGAAATCAACATATTTGAAAATGTGGAAAACATCCCAAAATATTTAAATAAATGGTATTCTATTATTGCTTAACAGGACGATTAACCATGCGATTAAATTATTGTAATCGCTTGACAGCCCTAGTTGATAATATACATAGTGTTAGTTGCCAGAGAAGGTGACAGTAGATGGTGCTCAACAGGGTGCACCATGGCGCCTGGGGTTTCTAGGGCAATACACCTGGCATGCTGCAAATGGCAGAGCTCTGTGCTGCTCTCCCCAGCAGCTCTGATCCCAGGGCAAACTGGGGGTACTGGGTAGCCCTGCAGGGGTGGGTCTACTGCCTCATGCCCCTCCCCCAGAGCTGGGGACTGAGGGCGCAGGCCCAACCCAGTGTGGGGGGCTCACGGGAGGGGCTGCACTTCCCCTTCTCCCTGGCACCATATCAGAGCCCCCATCTCTGGCCAGTGGGGTAAGCCTGGGCCAGGAGGCGGGACTTTTCCCCCTGCCCGACACCGATTGGCCAGTTGGTCCCTCGGCACCGCCCTACTGAAGCGCCATTGGACTTTCCCCTGTCCGTAACCGAGAAGGGACGATTGCTATGGCGACCGGGACGCGTCCAGCCATTCCCACTTCTTGCCTTAGCCCCCCCGTCCGTTCCCCGTGAAACCCGGATAGAAGCAGGCGGAGAGAAGGGGCGAGCGGCTTCCTTGTTCTCGCGAGAGGCTCTGCGGGGAACCCTAGCAACGGCGAGAGCGGAGTGTAAACAACCGACCCGGAGAGCCGGCGATGGAGGGGGAGGCGGCGGGGGCCGGAGCCGAGGGGCCCTTCTGCCTGCAGCGTATCCTCTCCCCGCGCCCCCTCAGCGGCTCCTGGGTCCTGGCTGGGCAGCGCTGGGATAAGGGGGGGGATGCTCGGGGGTGGTTTGCTGAGGGTTCACCCCGGGGGCTCCTCGCTCGGGGGGGGGGGCGGGAGGTTTCTGGGGGTTCACCCCGGGAGAGGGGGAGCCGGGGATCTTCACCCAGGGCAGGGGGGTGTTGGGGGTTTCAGTCTCGCTTTGCGGGGAGGGCTGTCGGGCTCTGGCCTCTGGGGATTTTTGGAGAGTTTGATTCAACTGAGAACAAATCTCCATGAATATCAGGCACCCCCCACCCTTGGTTTTGAGTCCAGGGCAAGTTCAAGCCGTGGGGTAGGGTGGGGTGTGCTGGGGTCCCCTAGTTGTCTGCATGGATCAGTGTTACTGCATGGATCACCCCCCGCCTCCCGGCCTGAGCTCTGTCCAGGATTGGGGAAGGGGAAGGACCACCTCTGTGGCCCATTCAGACAGGCTTCTCAGTGACATCTGCAGTAAAAGCTTCACTCGATGCCCATATTGTTGTATTTGCCAGGTTCAGACCTGTCCAGTGGGAGCCAGGCCAAAATCACGTAATTATGATAGGAAAAACCTGAGATTACCAATTTATTTTACCAACACTCTCCTACTTGCTGCTGGCTAATACAGACGCCCCCCGACTTACGCAATCGTTCCGTTCAGCCTTGCGTAACTCGAATTTTGCGTAAGTCAGAAACGTATACCCATACGTTATGCAAAAATTTCTGCAACTTGAAAATCCTATTTATGGCTTATGGAACTTTTTCCATAAGTGCGAATTTGCATAAGTTGGGTCTTGCGTAACCCGGGGAGCATCTGTAGTGAACTTCCCTGGGAACCCGGGGGGAATAACCCATAAGTTAGCAAAGAATTTAATTTTTTTATTTGAACGAAGACAGCTAAGTCTCCAGCCCTCACGATTAAGAAGACCTTCTCGATGTGAACTGACTGTAGCTTGATGCAGAGCCATCTTGCTGTATCTACAAACAGATGACTCCACCGCCACTGGTATGGAAACAGAAAAGTGAAATTGTCCTGATTCTTGTTAGTTTCACCTAGGGGTTCTGAATAGTAACAGTGGGAATGTCCATAGTCACTGTTGTTGTTTAGAATCTCTGGGTGAAATTAACAAGAACCATAACAATGTCACTTTTCTGTTGCTACTTGGGAAAGCTGTGAGCAACAACTGAAGTACTGGAGCTGTTGCCTCTTACTCCTTTTTCTATTTGTCTCTCTGTAGCAAGCGTCTGGTAAGTTTTTTCCAAGCCTTTTCCATAAGGCACCAAATACTTATCAGAAGGTAACCCACATTTGCTTGTTCCTCCACTTGGCAATATTTGAACCACTGACTTAGAGTGAAAGGTTCTAATTCTGTCATCAAGGGCCTGAATTATCCAATCATTCCCTAAAGATCTATTTTTAATTCAGTAGTTTATACAAGTAATATAGGAATTTTAGATTGCAGTACAGCAATTTAGAAGGTTTATTTCAGAGTTATGACATTTAGAAACAATCAGTTTAACTCCTTTTCAGTTATAAAAAGAGCAAAGACAAATTATAAGTTAGTGGTTTCAGGTTTGTTTTGTTTTGTATATTTAGAAGCTGGCAATCAGGAGATCTGAGTTCTGTTCCCAACCTTGGAAGGGCTGGTCTTCACTACCTGCCCAGATCGGCGGTAGAAAATTGATCTCTCGGGGATCGATTTATCACGTCTCGTCGGGACGCGATAATCGATCCCCGAATCGACGCGCGTACTCCACAAGCCCAGGTAGGAGTTAGCGCCGGCGACGGGGGAGCCGCGGCGGTCGATTTGCCGCTGTCTTCACAGCGGGATAAGTCGGATCAGATACGTCGAATTCAGCTACGCTATTCGCGTAGCTGAATTTGCATATCTGAAATCGATCCCCCCCCGTAGTGTAGACGTAGCCTTTGTGACCCTATGTAATCCACTTCTCTGTGATTCAGTTTCTATTTCCTTAAAACAGAAATTCTTCAGTGCCCTGTGGCTAATAAAAGGCACTAAATAAGAGTGTCTATATTATAAAAGACATTTAAAATAAAATGTGTAGACAATGTTTGCTCAAAAATGTAGCTGAATGAGGAATTTGGTCTTTAAAAGATTATTGTGCATCTGAAATATGATTTTTGAAGAAAAATTTCAAGATTTTTAACATGAGGTTTTATTCCACATGCATAGCACCTGCAATAACACAGTAGTCTAGACCATAATGGCACATAAGGGCTATCAAGTCAGTAAAACACTTTTAAAAAACTAGCAGCAAACTACCCGTCTTGGAAGCACCTAAATCACCAAGAGCATTTGCATTAGTTTGAAATGTCTGGTGGATATGACATAGTGACATTTCTATCCACATTGTAAAAGATTCTATAACTGTAGAATAGAATTGTCAATATGGAGAAAAAGAAATGAAGTGTTGCACATATGTAAAACAATTTGACAAAATCTGTCTCTCTCATTATACAATTAAGCATCCAGTGAGAGAAATGTTTTTAGCCAAATTGCTGGATGCACAGTATTGTATTTAAATTGTACCATATAAACATTCAAACCTCTATTTACTACTACAATATGACAGTACCAAAAGGCTGCTTAATTGATTACAGTGACATTATCCCGTTTTTTATTATTTGATCATCATTTTATAAATTCTTAGTACATTTTTCAGCTTCCGAGTCCTTTGCAAACTTTAATTAAAGTACCATTCAGTTATGGTGCTAGTGAATTAATGGTAAATCATAATTGTTATATACCCAGCAAGGTAGGCAACTTATCATCCCCGTTCTACGGATAAGGGACTCTAAGGACCATACATTTAATCTGATTTGCCCAAGGCCCCACAACACGATAGTAGCAGGGCCAGAACTAGAACTCACACATTTGTGAGTCCCAGTCCCAGATGACTAGATCATACCTGCCTCAAATGTTACTTTTATTATACCCTTTGCTATAATTAAAGCAGCTACAGTTACATTGTGATTTCTATTATAAACTTATATTTATGCACGCGTAGCTTTCTGAAAAGTCCTTTGTAGCTGAAACTTGCTATTGCTAGTCTCAGCTCTGTTATTTATTTATTTGTTTTTTTTTAAAAGCTGGAGCAAAATCCATTCATGATATGAAGTTATTGGAGAGTGGGGAGAAAAGTGTTCCCAGCATATGAAGACTTTTTTGACTTATCAACCAATAGCTCAAAAGCATTTGTGGGGCAAGCCCTCTAAACCTCACATGTAAATTACTACCTCCCTTTGCTGTATGTATAACCGAGGCAAATTTAAAAATAACCCCCTCTTCTTAAATGCTCATTTCCAATCAGCAAAAGATTTTTGTAACTTCAGCTAATGAAGCCTTGACCTTTGGCAATAACACAGTTAACTTTTTCCTTTGCTTGCCCCTCTCTCTCCAAATATATAGACACACATATATGGATAAAATATAATACAGCCAAGGACAATTTTCCAAATAAACCAGGGATTTTAGGAAGCACTGGCAGGTGTACAAATATCTGATTCAGGCACATAATCACAGTCAAGTACAAATACATAAGTAGCACACATACATTGGCCCCTCCTTTATAAAAAGTTGGGCCTTAGTATCCATGCTGTGCAAATAGGACCTCACTTTTTAAAGTCTCATTCACAAGATACCTTCCCCAGACATAAAGTAGCAACATGGTCACTTTATGTACAGTGAAAGGATGAAGAGTGAATTGATCATAGGGTGTCTAGCTTTTAAAAAATGATTCTTAGACTACTTACCAAACTCAATCAACCAAAACTCCTGACCTCCCAAATCAAGTCTGCCACCAGATTTCCTCTGCTTTTGCTGCTCCCTACCAATCTCCAGAGCAACTTAAACAAACCAATGGTTTCCCTGTTGTGCATTTTGCTCCCAGTAACTCTTCTCCCTCCCTCCCTGTCTCATCTTGTGAACACTAGAGCAGCTGCAGCCACTTAGCTCTTTCTGCCCCTCTAGCAAACAGTTAGTGGTCCCTGGACCACTTTGCTGCCCAATTTCCCCCCCCTCCCCCTCCAGTTAAGAGCATGAAAAGAACAAAGTTGGCTGATAATGTAAGGTCTCCAGCATTTGCCTTTGGGAGCGGGGAGCTGAGACTCAGGAGACAGACAGCTTCTAAACTCTTAGAAGGTTGGTCAGGCTCCAGTTCTTCAGGACAGCTCTTCAAAGTCCTGTCCAAAGAGCAACTGTTCTCAGCTACATTCTCCCTGCCCAACTTAATGGGCACGTGGGCTGTTGCTGGGACACTTTGCTAGAAGGAGATTGTAAAGCATTCATTGAAACACACACCTCTCAATCCTTCCATTAAAATCAGTTAATCCATTTTTTTCCCTAATGTAACTAAAGGAGATGTAGGACTGTTAAACCAACATAACAGAAGCTTCAGTGCTCAATTTACTATTATTTTTCCCCAAAGGGTGGATCCCACAGATGTGCATTTGCTATATCAGATCTCTAAACCTCATAAAAAATGGTTAGCTTTCTAAAAGGATGAAATTCACCCAGAGGCATAATGACAGTGAAAGTCCCCTGGTGCAATATAGCCACTGTGACTATGTACCTGAGAGTAGAGTTTGGCCTATTGTTTATATTAAGCACAGCAACTGGCATCTAGCTATAGCAGAGCAAATAGGTGTTATTTTAATGCTGTGCAATCCTGCAGTGAAAAGTTTGAGTGCTAAATTCTGTTCTTGAATGCAGCGACATGCCTTTCATTGGAGCTGTGTATGGGCATCTAAGAGCCAAAGTTAGCCCTAAATATATGAAATTTGGCCTTACATAGAACAGGGGAGAGGCTGATAATTACTGCTTTATGAATAACTGCTCTTTTTTAATGATCATATAAAAATTATTTTAATTCTCATTGGAAAGCACCACATATGTCAGCTGCTTTAGACTTGACAAAACATACAGAAGTTACCATTACAGAAGACTCAGAAGATGATTATCAGTATGAAGAGGTAATTTACTTAATAATAATATTGCCAATAATAATAATACCTTTTTCTTTTATAGTGCCTGTAATCAGTAGATCTCAAAACTTAGGAGACAGTCTTAAGAGAGATCTGTATTGTAGTATCCACCTCTTCTTTTATTTAAATGCACCAGTCACTAAGATATCTTAGTACCAAAGAAGTAAATCCTATTTTATGAAGCATACTTTAAAATATGCATGATATTCAGTGTATATTTTCACTTAATAAAAAGAACTAGTAACATTTGATTTATGTCTTATTTCCATTTAGATAATTTTTAAAAGGTAGCAGTAACTCAGTTTAGCTGATTTCAGCTTATTCATAGTGAAATTATTCATAATTTCAGCTTATTCATTATTTAAATATGTTTATATTATTATATAACATATCCTTGCTTTCTTGGATATTGTTTTCAGTATATTAATGTATTGGTCTTTGATACAAACAAAATCCTCTAACTAAAGCCTGTGCTTGATCTCTTTTTGAATTGTAGTTGTGTGAAGGAGTGTAAACCCCACACTGGTGAACAAAGTGTTAGTAGGAGCTGGAGAGTTCAATTAGCCCATCTTCCTGCACCTGGAGGGTGTGTCAGGGTTGATTTGTTATCAGACCCAGCTGGAGGAGCTGGGTTGTCTCATTAAGCAGGGAAGTGAAAAACTACAAGAGAGGGTATATGTGTGAGGGAAAGAGTTCTCTTAGCCTGGAAAAGGAATTATAGGGTAGTTGTAGGAGAAGAGCTAATTTTGTGCTTAGGATTGGAGAAGTAGTGCTTCTAAGGAAGTAGTATTGGTGGTGGATGTTCTATACCAGGATGCTGGAGGGAACCTAGTGGGATTAAAGATCAATTCTGGAGGGACAGAAGCTGCTTTAGTTAGGTTTGGTTTCTCTGGGATTTTCTGTGCTTTGTTGGTGAAGGCTGAGGGAAGCCTAGGAATTTTACTCTGAGAGAAGTGGGACTGTAAAGGAATCTAATATGAGCAGAAAATGCTATGGTGGTAATTAGCATGTATAGGATACTACTCATGTGAGACAGTGACACCTCTGAAAGGGTAAGACTTCTAAGGGACCTGCCTGGAGGACCAAGTTGTGAGAAGATGACACCACTGTAGGACTGAAGCAGAAGGTGCTAATGAGGAGAGACTATTATACCAGGCTGGGCCAGCAGTGAGTCCACTCTTCCCCAAATAATCTACTATGTCAGTCAGCAGGCTCTTACCCTAAGCCTGGTGAAATCCATGAGAATCTTTCCACTGAGCCTCGGATCAAGTGCTGAGAGATCAGAGTTGAAAGTCCATCTCCAAAGAAGTCAATGAGAGTTTTGTCACTGATTTAAATAGGGCAAGGATACCACTCTGAGAGTGTGTGTGTGTGTGTGTGTGTGTGTGTGTGTTTAAATAAATATTGTATGCTTCAGCGCCAAGTAGAGCAATAATCAGTTGTGTAATTATAACACCAAGCTTCTAATATGTCTACTAGCATAAGACTTTTTTTTTTTTTTTTAAATTACTGTGTGCTGTTGGGACTTAATTACATTCTGGAAGAAAGTATAATACATTAAAATATGCATTGATGTGACTTCATTTATATTTGGGTTTAGGTTCCAGCAGATGATGATTTTAGTCTCCTAGAAGGTGATGAAGATCTGGTAAAGGCTTTGCAGACAGTACAGGAGCAGGCTGAAGATGCACAAATTATAGTAAGAGTTTTCAAAAAACTGTTATTACTCCATCAGTAATCAAATTGATTTCTATTGGCTTAAAGTTTAGACATTGAACACTCTTAATTATTGAATATAAGTATGGATAGAGCCTTTTATACTTCTTATGGCATAAATATCTAGAAACATTTAGATATGATGTAATTATGAGAACAGAGCTTAAATAAATTCATTTCCATCCACCCTGATATTCCTCTATTCACTGTTTGCCTGTCTTGTTATATATTTCATGCATTGCTCAATATTTTAAGAAAAAAGTAGACTTAATTCACTAAAATGTGTTAGGATACTTTTCTCTAAATGGAATGAGTTAAATAAAATATTTAGGCCCTGATCCAGCCAAGTTCCATTGAAGCATGTGCTTTAATCACTGTTTAACATGTGCTTAAATGCTTTGCTGAACAGGAGTAGAATTACTCAAATGCTTTTATTAAAAAAACCAGAAAGTATATACTGGCTGCTTGGCTGAATGAGAGCTGTGATCAAATTATGACCCATTTAACAACTAGTGTTAATTTTAGATACTTCTACCTTTTACAGTTTGATTTTTAAAACCGCAATAGAATACCATGTAGTGGTGTGATGGGATTTTTGTTATGTTCACAGCACACACCCACATGTTAATTTTAAAAACATAAATACTCTTGTTGGAAGGCTGTAACATGACACTTTTTTTATTTTTTTTTTATTTAAAGAATTCAAAATAACACCAAGAACCCCAAAATGGTGAGAGACAAAGCAGGGTGCTCACTAAAACAGAGAGGCCCAACTCAGCCCTCCCTACTGTAGGCTGGCTCTTAGCAAAACTTCTGCTGCTGCTAGGACCAGATCATATGCTTCCCTACAGAGCCAGCCAGCTACCCGCCTTTAGGTGGGACTAGGAAAATCCTTGAGGATTTGAATTGATCACAACTTGAACAGTTGTTTTCAGTATACCATAGTGACTTCAGATGCTATTTCCAGTTGCAGAAAAATTACTTGGTTTGGCTTACTATGGTCACATAGTGTAAGGTACCGTTCCTTTCCATTATACCATCAATTTTTTTATATATTTTTCATCATTTATGCAGTGAGTGAGTGTCATAATCTTTGTTCTGCAAAGGCAAATGAATGTAACTTTTTTTTTTTTTAATGAAAGTGACTAGTTCTCAGTGACAACCGAGGGAAGACTTACACACACACACTAAAGTAAGTAAACTCATCAGTTCTGAGGTCAATATTAAACCTTGGATGAAAAATTCTGAAAATAAGAGGTACATCTGAAAGCAGATTCAGTTTTTAAAATGTATGGTTTTTGAAGCATTGGAAATATTTGCAATTCTTCACAAATCTACTGTAATTACATCTGACTATGCCCTTGACACTTAAAATCCAGAACAATGGACAATGTTATTAGTCTAATCTTTTGACAGTGTACAACTGCCCAGTCTTTCAGCTGTTTCATAAGTGTTTCTCTATTGAATTGTAAGACTGCTACACAGGAACACTTGATATATGATGCACTTGGGGTGTGTATATATGCCCTGTATGAACACCTAAAGCGTCCTGCAGTTTTGATAGCAAAAAGCACCATGCCCATATTTAGCCTCAAGTTCAATATGATTTTTTTGTGTTCTAGCTAAAAGGTTTCTTTTTGCTTCTGGACTTGATATTCAGATATTTAATACAATGTTCACTGTAAATCATAGTTTTTGCCAACAGCGTATGTCAATCATTTTCATTAGATGGTAGGATAGTGCAAAACAAAGGTACTTTAAATCACACTTGTTGGCCTTAATGCTTTCATAATTAAATGTTTACTGCATATTTTATGAGGCATATCTGCTAGGTTGTTCAGTGCTCATTTACTAGATAACCCAGGTGTTGAAGCAAGTGGTTTTGATGACTCAGCAAGTACTCTCTGATTGCCTGCTGAATCAATATCCTCACACTGTGCTAAGAAACACATCTTTATGTGAAGCAAAACTGAGGCAATGAATACCTGTAGCCCTGAGATTTCCTGGCACGTTTTGCAAGTGGTAATCCTTCTGTCTTGGCTAAATTCCACCATAAACTAATGTCCTGGCACACCTATGCTTCCTCTATAGCTTCAGTTCAATTGCTGTATATTTTACACCCAATTCCATAATAAAAGAATTTCATCCACTATTTAAATGCAGACTTTAAGGAAATGCAGTATTTATGCAATTGTGGTGCATAGATCAAGTAGGTATCCAAAAGTACAGTAAGCATTATACAGCCCACACCCTCAACTTAGAAATCATGGTTATTTATAGTTTGTGTCCATGGCTTTCATTTTCTCTAAGAAGATGAAACATAGGCTGTTAAACTTAAGCAGAGACCGCAATTGTCTTAATTTTAATAACTGGCACTTTCAGTAAACCAAGACTACTGTGTGCCAAACAGTTAGGATGTGTTAGTATCCATTATCTTGGGCAGGGGTGGGCAAACTTTTTGGCCTGAGGGCTGCATCGGGTTTCCAAAATTGTATGGAGGGCTGGTTAGGGGAGACTGTGCCTCCCCAGACAGCCAGGCATGGCCCGGCCCCCGCCCCTGTCGGACCCCTCCTGCTTCTTGCCCCCTGGGAGTTTTGCATGGAGCAGCTCTAACTTATACCATTGGTGTAAGCTCTCAGGACCGGATGCCAATAGAAGATAGGGCCTAGTGGAGCTCTGTTCTATCATGCTGCTTCACCCCGATTTTGTTTCAGTCCTCATTTGTCCTGTTTCAGTCCTACATCATTACTTTTGCTGTTGTTCTTGCCTTGAACAGTATAAAGTAATGTGGTGGCTGATCCCAGAATGTAATTGCTGTCAAAAGTAACTGAGTTTTTCCATATGGAAAAATGGAATCTTTAGCTCTTTATACGTTCACTTCCAGAATAAGATGTCCTGTCTTCTCATTCAATTCTATTTTTCCTATAGTACACAAAGCAAGCAGGATTATGATGGAGCAGTTTCCTCTGGATGTATTTTTAATCTTCTTTCCATATAAAAATGATGTAGAGCCTTTTAAATGGGATAATCACGTCTTCTATGTCTTGTCCAAGAAGTTATGAATCTAGATTTTTTTTCCATAACAGAAAATAGCTCTGGATTACCTATGGCTGCAGGAACACTTCATTTCTGGATTCTTCTTTTGTGTCCTATGTGAACAGTCAAATTCCCTTAAAATTAGTTTGTATTCTGCCTTCATAGATTTCATTTAATTTGAGCCTACTGTCCAAAATTCTGCACTTTCCTGTTTTTCGTCCTTCCTTGCCTCCAGCTGAATAAGTTTTGAAGGAATCTCTTCTAATGCATTTTCTTGACAGTCTCTGTTCTACCACCTCTGATCTTGTTTGGAGTTTCTTTTAGCAGTCTTTGGACAGAAAATTCCTGAGAACGAGCAGATGGTACTATGACACCCTAGGTGTGAAGCTGTCCCAATGTTTTTATTGGGCATGCTTGCTATCAGCAGATTCAGCATTCTCTGGGGATTTGGGGGGTGGTTGGTTTTTTATTATTTTTTAACTTTTATTCAGTAAAAGAAATTGAACAAAACCCTTACACTGAATAAATCACCAGAAGATCTTACATGGTGTTTGTCTCATTTCTTACTGATTCTCTGTAATCTGTGAGCACCCCAGTCATTCATGGGTTTTATCCTCTCAACATTCCTGTGAAACAGGTGTGTTCCCCATTTTTTGGATGGGGAAACTGAGGTTCAGGATAGATTAAGTGACTAGCCTGGCATCATACAAGAAGTCTGTGGTAGGACCAGGAACTGAACTCAGGTCTTTTAAAGTCCAGTCCAGTAGATGATCATTTTTACCTGTACGGTGCTTCTTAACAGTTCCTTGCTCAGGCCCAGCCCTTGAAATAACTCTTAAGGTATTTGCTAGATGCCGCTGTACTATATGAATCAAATTAATATCTGGCAGAGTTCCATTGACTACAATGTGTTTTGCTAGGGATGAATTTGGCCCAGTGTTTTAAAACTGTCTTATGGATGTGTTTTAAGGGCCTGCAATCAGCCTATGGCAGTGTGACCAAGAGATCTCCTGATCTAAATTGGTGGAGGGCATAGGGGAAGCATAAGCATTACAGGAATCCCCTGGGCCTGGAGTTCACATTGTGGTCCACCAAAAAGTCTCTTGTGAGGTCTCTAACGAAAGCCTGTGTCACACAGGTCATTGGTATCATTGTGGAAAGCATGCACTGATGTTAAGAACATAAGAGCGGCCATACTGGGTCAGACCAAAGGTCTATCCAGCCCAGTATCCTGTCTACTGACAGTGGCCAATGCCAGATGCCCCAGAGGGAGTGAACCTAACAGGTGGTGATCAAGTGATCTCTCTCCTGCCATCCATCTCCACCCTCTGACAAACAGAGGCTAGGGACACCGTTCCTTACCCATCCTGGCTAATGCCATTAATGGACTTAACCTTAATGGACTTTATCTAGTTCTCTTTTAAACCCTGTTATAGTCCTAGCCTTCACAACCTCCTCAGGCAAGGAGTTCCACAGGTTGGCTGTGTGAAGAACTACTTCCTTTTATTTGTTTTAAACCTGCTACCCATTACATGTTGTGTAAGGAATTAAGTATTTAAACTGAATTATGTTTTTATGGTCTGTATCTAGGGACTGGTCAACCAGCAAAAGTGAAAAGCAGGCTTTCTTTCAGACAAACGTTTCTCTGTTCACATGTAAATTAAGTATTGTATGATTCTTCTTTGAGTGCTTGCTCATGTCTATTCCATATTAGGTGTGTGTACTCACTACATGCACCAGTGCCAGAAGTTGGGCCCCACCTCAAGTCGAGCTGTGCAGCCCATCCCATGCTTTGCCTGGAACTCCAGATAGTGATGCAGGCCCCAGCCAGCTTCAGGTGCTGTCAACACCTAAAGCCCTTCAAACAGCTCAGGAGATCCTGACATTTCTGGTGCTGCCCTCTCACTGGCTCCTGTGGAACCCCGATCTCAGGGAAAACCTGCATTG